CATTACGGACGCTACGCATACGGACCTGTTAGCGAGGCTACATAATGAGGTGCATCGCGTGTGGGGGCTTGCCTGCGTCTCAAATCAACGATACGACTACTTTCATTGATCCGTCGGGGGCGTCGGCCAAAATATGGCTCTGAAGCGTCGGGGCTTAGACCGTGTCTATATTCTACGGACGCATTACGGACGCTACGCATACGGACCTGTTAGCGAGGCTACATAATGAGGTGCATAGCGTGTGGGGCTTGCCTCCGTCTCAAATCAACGATAAGACAGCTTTCATCGATCCGTCGGGGGCGTCGGCCCAAATATGGCTCTGAAGCGTCGGGGCTAAGGCCGTGTCTATATTCTACGGACGCATTACGGACGCTATGCATACGGACCTGTTAGCGAGGCTACATAATGACGTGCATAGCGTGTGGGGGCTTGCCTGCGTCTCAAATCAACGATACGACTACTTTCATTGATCCGTCGGGAGCGTCGGCCCAATATGGCTCTGAAGCGTCGGGGCTTAGGCCGTGTCTATATTGTACGGACGCACTGCGGACGCTATGCATACGGACCCGTTAGCGAGGCTACATAATGACGTGCATAGCGTGTGGGGGCTTGCCTGCGTCTCAAATCAACGATACGACTACTTTCATTGATCCGTCGGGGGCGTCGGCCCAAATATGGCTCTGAAGCGTCGGGGCTTAGACCGTGTCTATATTCTACGGACGCATTACGGACGCTACGCATACGGACCTGTTAGCGAGGCTACATGGGGAGGTGCATAGCGTGTGGTGGCTTGCCTGCGTCTCAAATCAACGATAAGACAGCTTTCATCGATCCGTCGGGGGCGTCGGCCAAAATATGGCTCTGGAGCGTCGGGGCTAAGGCCGTGTCTCTATTCTACGGACGTACTGCGGACAAAATGCATACGGACCCGTTAGCGAGGCTACATAATGAGGTGCATATCGTGTGGGGGCATGCCTGCGTCTCAAATCAACGATACGACTACTTGCATTAGAATCCC